CAATTTCATTGAAGAGTTTCAACAGTAGTGGCAGCAGTTCCTCTCTAAATGTCTTGTAGAATTCAGCAGTGAAGCCATCAGGACCTGGGCTTTTCTTAGTTGGTAAGTTTTTAATTACATTTTCAATTTCATTGGTTGATATTGGATCGTTTAGAATTTTTAGGTATTCTTCGCTCAAGTTTGGTAATTCATACGTATCTAGGAATCTGTCCGTTTCTTCTGTGTTGTCCATCTTATTGGCTTATAGGTTCTGGAAGTAGGTATTGATGATCCTCTGGAAGTCTGCTGGGTCTGTTGTCATTTCACGCTTTTCATTCCTAACTGCATGGATTTGGGCCTTTTCTTTCTTTTTCTTTCCTTTTTCTGATAAGGTTGGCTAAGGGGTTGTCAATTTTGTTTATTCTTTTGAGGAACCAACTCTTGGCTTCATTGATTTTTTGTATCGTTCTCTTAGTCTCCATTGCATTGATACCTGCCCTGATCTTTATAATTTCCTCCCTTGTATGAGCTTTGGGTTTGTCCTGTTCTTTTTCTAGAAGCTTGAGGTTCAGCATCAGGTTGTTTAATTGGGCTCGCTCTGTTTTCCTAATATGCGTATTCACTGCTATGTATTTCCCTAGTAAGGCTGCTTTCATTGTGTTCCATAGATTCCAATATGTTGTATTGGCATTGTCATTTAATTGAAGGAACTGTCTGATTTCTTCTTTAATTTCCTCTGTGACCCATTGGTTATTCAGAAGTGTCAACACACTCAATTTAAAGGCGGAAAAGTTGATTTTGGCTTATGTTTCAGAGGTTTCAGTCCTTGCATGCTCAGTTGGCCCCAGGCAGAGGTGGCATAATAGAAGGGCCTGAGAGGAGGAAAGCTGCTCACCTCATGGTAGCCAGGAAACAGAGAGAGAAGGGAGGAGCCAGGGAGGGAAATACCCACTTCCAGGTCACACCCCAGCAGCCTGCTCTTTCTGACCAGACCCCACCTCCTAGGGTAACAGCAGTTCAGCCATGGTGCCCTCATAGTCCAATCACCTTTCACATCCCCACCTACGAGCACCTGAGACACTATAACAGCAACACCCAGTCAGAGGGCCTTCAGAAAGACACCGCTGCCCTCTTCCCTGACGTGGGAGGTAGAAAAGCAATTGTTCACATCAGCAGATATTTCATGTTCTTGCCACTGTTGGTAGTGAGGCTGGGGCCTCATATCTCCTCTGCCTTCAGATTTTCTTCATTCTTTCCATCCCAGGGAGGATGCGGGGAGGGCAGCTCTGCAGAAGATGGGTGGTGACAGAGACGTGACTGATGTAGAGTACCCCAGAAACCTTACTGAATTCTGACTCCCCAGCCCTCTCTTGCTGTGAAAGCAGCAGCACTTTCCTCCCAGGAGGAATCATGCAGAGCATGTACCCACCTCTGTGTACCCTCCTCTTTTCCCTGCCTCTCAATTTTAACCCCAGACACTACTCCAAGCCAAAGAAAATAAGATAGGTTTTGAGGTTTTGGAAAACCATCTCACGGTATCCCTAACATTTACTGCTGGGCAAAAAGGCAGGCAATAGATGAACATCGCCTGATTCTACCCACTTGATGGTACACCCTTAGCCACCGCTGCTAGAAATGTTTGTGAGGCTATTTAGGCTATTTACCAAAATGTTAATGGCTTTTCTTGGATGGTTAGATTTCTGGCAATCACTACCTTATTCTTTAAGCCTTTATGAGTTGTTTAATATTTTTTACAACAAGTATGTGTTTTAAAACAAACACAACCATCTAGAGTAAAAGTAGTTACTAGGAAGACTTCCTGAAGTCAAATATACAATTCACTCTGTATTAGGCCACAGGGCAATGATGTGAGTGCAAAATAAAAGCTTTAGAAATACCTGCCCTCCGTCATCTCATCAAGAATCATTTGGTGATATGAGGGAGAACTGAAAATGGATTTACTTTGTGCCAGTTTTATTTCTTGTTCTATTTCTTGTTCTATTTCCCTGTGACAAATCTCAATGTTTTATTCTGAGTCATTCAAGTTTGGATATTCTGTACAAACATTAAAATATGGACCATGGTGTGTGTGTGTATGTGTGTGTGCACATGCACACACATGCATACGTGCCCAAAAGTACTCCATGAGAACACCCCACAGTCCTATTTCAGTTACCCGAGGGAATGAGGACCTGGGCCCATATATGACACAAACAGCACTGAGGAGGGTGGTGGTTTCTGGGCGAATACTCCAACTGTGGCCAAAACATTTTATTTAATATATAGAAAAAGTTCTGAAGCAAATGTGAAAAAGTTTCAACACTTGTGAATCTGGGATAGGTGGGAGCTGGGGTATCTGTCTTTATTTGGATCTTTTTGTATACTTTCTTAAAAAGAAAGAAGTGGCAGAGGGAAGACTAGAAAAGTTTTGGCAAATAATATGTATGTGCTGGTCATATGCAATCATATATCCACATGTCTGTTAGGTCCAAAAGAAAAATTCATGATAGGGATGTGGGGAAAGTGATTTTTAAAATTCTATATTAAAAACTATAGGGGTTGATAAATTGCCTGTATAAGAAAAGGAAACCTAGAAGACCAGGAAAGGTGAGTATGTTAGTTAAGTTCGGCTAGGTTTTGCTACAATAACAAACAAGACCTGAATTTCAGTGTCTTAATACAACCAATGTTTATTTTTTTCATTCACCCTAAGTCCAGCAGCTGTCCTTCATATGGTGATTAAGACCATATTCACTCTGTGAGTCCACTTTCTTAGCTCAAGGCCTCCACATTAGCTGCAACAGGAGTGGAGAGAAGCTGGGAAATCAGATGTAGGTTTTCACTGCCTCATCCCAGAAGTAGTGTGCACCATTTCCACCCACATTTTATTGGACAAAATTGTTCTCATACCTGTGTCAAGTTCAAGAGTCTGAGAATTGGAAGCTACAGTGTACCCAGGAAAGAGAGCGGGTAAGGATATAGGTAAGCATTGTAGGAAGGAAGCTAAGGCCACCTGAGTAAATTGCTCTTGTGAGACTAGGTAGGCCCTAGGCTTTGGGAGGCTCTTGTCACCTTCAATCAGAAAAGCTTCATCTTCTTTTTTGTTGTTGTTAAATTCTTTTATTGGTACATTTTCGGTATACAACACAATTACATTTCTCATTGGGAATTGGACCTTTACATAATGCATCTTGGTTCTTATTTTTTCCCCATTCCTAGCCCTCCCTTCACCCCCTCCACCCTTCCCTATTTACAAAGACTTTATTTCCATTTTTTCCATTTTTCATCATTTTTCCTTTCCCTTCTTTCCTTTCTCCTTCCCCTCCCACTACCCCTACCCCTTTGGACCTTTTCTTCCTATTTTGCATTATCGATTATTCATTCTAATCATTGGTACATTTTAGGTATACAATATAATGACATTCATCATTGGAAATTTGCACCTTTACATAATCTCTCTTGGTTCTTATTTTTCACCCTTGCCCAGCCCTCCCTTCAACCCCTCCAGTCCTCCCTATTTACAAAGATTTTGTTCCTATTTTTCCATTTTCCCATATTAATCCCATTCCCTTCTATCCTTTCCCCTAGCCCACTTCCTTCGCCTTTGCCCCCTAGAAAAGCTTCATCTTGACTTTCTTGTTCTAAAATGACTGTTCTCACGCTTAAAATGAACAATTATTCCTGTATTTGATACAAAGTATGATATTCAAGGACATTTAATGAAAAAAATCATCTGACTCCTTTCTTAGAAACACAGCTGAGACCTACCAGAGTTACATATGCCTTGATGTGATTGTCACTTATTACCAGGTGATGGCTTTATTTGCTTCAAAGCTCTCACGCATTACAAAGAAAATCTGTTAACATTTGGGCAGATGTAGAGATTTAATCAGGTGAAATTCTTACAGCTCAGAGCTCCGTGTGCTCCACTCCACAAAGGATGTTTCCTGGGTTCTGGAGTAATAGGGACAATTTCAAGGAGCCCAACATATCTGTCACAATTTCAGCAGACTCTTGCACATCTCTCATTTCTGAGCAAAACTTGCCACTGAAGATAACCTGATGATGACCATTTATTTGAGTTGGTCCAGAGGAGACAGGGTGGAGTGTGGATCTTTTTACTAGGATGTATAGATGATGAAACCAGCACAGTGGTTAAGAATGTGGGCTTGGGAGTTAGGCTGCCTGCACTCCCATTTCCTGGTTCGGTGATTTTAGGTGCTATACTCTTGCCTCAGTTTCCTCATCTATAAAAAGTATAATAATATATCCACCTTAAAGTGTTGTTTTGAGGATTAGATGAATTAATACACAATCACATACCACATAACAATGTTCTAGTCAATAGCAGACCACATGACTACAGTATGGTCGTCCCATAAGGTTATAATGGAGCTGGAAATTTCTATCACCCAGTGACACTGAAGCCATCGCAGTGTTGTGGTGCAATGCATTATTCACAAGTTTGGAGTGATTCTGATGCAATAATCTTACTGTGCTGCCATGTTGTATAAAAGTATTATACATGTAATTATGTAAAGTACATAATACTTCATAGTGATTAACAACTGAGTTATTGGTTTATGTATACCAGTATACGATCTACTTTTCACTGTTATTCTGGAGTGTGCTCCTACCTTGGAAAAACAAAGCTGTGAAACATGGGCCATGTTATGCTGCCAGCAGCCATACCCATTTTCTGCTTACCATGTCTCCTGATTGTACCAAGAGGCCATGTCACGTGACTTGCGTGACTGCCCCATGCCATCTAGGGCACATAAGTGTGCCCTGTGATGTTTTCACAGTGATCCAATTGCCCAGTGACACATCTCTCAGAACTATCCCTGTCGTTAAGTGGCCTATGACTGTACGCAGTTCAGAGTGGGGCTAGACATGCCAGAAGTGTTTAGTGTCTTCATCACGATGATCATGGCAGACGCCGGCATACCTTTCATTTCTGAACAAAACTTACAATGTATCTTTTTTTTTTTTAGTTGCTTTAGAGACAGGATGAAGTTTGGTTCTTTTCATGGTGAATACAAAAGCATATAATTAAAATGTCATCCTTCTGTGGATTAAGGGACTTCATGCAAAGCACAGAATGAAGTCCAGTAATGAAGTTTCCCATTAATTAAAATAACAACTTCCTTTTATACGAGAATAGAGCTAAATGTACCTTTATGATGCTATTGTTCTTAAAAGTGGTTCCATGTAGATTTGCAGTATGTTTTCAATTGTTTTAAAAATGGGTTATAGGATCTTGTAATAATTTCTGGGTCTGTTTAGTAAATTCATTGTTATGCAAAGAAATTACATTCAGAAATAGGAAACTACTTTATTTGCCTAAGAAATCATGTCACTCTCAGACCGTGGTAAATGTGCACTTCTGAGACACACAGCAAGCAGGACCACAGTGGAAAGTAACTGAGCCTGCAGGCTCTCTTCTTCCACTTCAGCTTCTTTCTAGTATGTTAAGTCCTACTAGTCTGGAAAACCAAAGTTCATTTCCAACCAGCCTATTTCTCTATTTCCACCGAGACGTGACAATACAGATTCACTTTTGGCTTAACTTTTTATTATCAACTTTCACATGTTTAGACGTTTAGGTAAAATCATCTTTACATCTGCATATCTAACTGCCAGGAGCCTTGCCCTGGAGTTGCTGGAACTCCTTGTCTATTCCAAGAGCCCAAGTGTCCCATTAGGGTGTCATATCCTGGGCAGAGCAAAAGGAGGGGAGCGGGGGCTCCCCAAAATATGAATACCCCTCAGATCAGAGAATGATAGCGTGCCCTGCCCGTGACGTTTGTCCTTTATCCCAGGACACACAGCCACCAGCTCTGTCGAGATGCCCCGGGAGCTGAGCCTCCCTGCCTCCTGCTTGGCCCTGTCTCTCTCGCCCAGGCCCCTAGGGCTGGAGAATCCTCCTTCCTCGGTATCTGCGCTCCCTGGCCCTCGTCCAGACTCTCCTCGAATGTGGCCATCTGCAGTCCTTTGCTGGCTGGTCTGGGCTTCCAGTTTCTCCCGCTCCCAAGGCCTGCTCCCAGCGCCCCGCGGGAAAACAGAACGCAGCGGCTCCCCCTACAGGACAGAGGAGGACATCTCCGCGGGGCCCAGGTCCTCTCCACTCTGGACCCGCAGAGAATGGCAGTGGGACAGTCCGTCCAGCCCCAGCGCAGTTCCCGGAGGGTATTTGCCCCAACCCCACTTTCACAAAGAGCTTCTAACGCAGTCTGGGGGTGAGATTAGCTGCAGCCCTAAAGATAAACTGACAGATGTTCCTGTGCACCTTTATCATGGGTATCATCACCAGACCACATTGCTTATGCAGGGCTAGACATTAGTATTTTTATTAGCTATATAATTGCTGTGTTGTTGTTTTAGAAAACTTTAAATGAAGAAAGGGTAACAAGGTCCTTGTCCTAGTCTGGGAAGGCCTGGCCAGAGGACCAAGGAATCCTCCTTCCGCTCAGGCTTCTGTGATTAGCAAGGTCTGGGAGTTGCCACCCTGGGGACCTTCAGTTCTGGCAGGGCTCTCACCTACCCTTGAGGACTCATTCTTGCCCTGCCTTTACTTGTTCTGGGAGGGACACATTCTGAGAATTTAAGCAAACTGTCCAAGCTTGGAGGAAACCATGGGCTGCAAAATCTTTCAGAACAAAGAATTAAGTATCTTTATAATTATATCCAGGCCTAGGTTTAGACCAGAGTTCCTATGGCCTCTTGAACTTCAAATAAATACCTATCTTGTTCCTTGTTTAAACAGGTGTAATGATATCGCGAAGACTAAATTTATTGAGGCAGGAAGGCAGCTCCCACAGCTGTCAGGAGCACACTGCCCTTTCATTCCTCACTGGAGGGGAAGCTAATTATACTGTCATAGAGCAAAATAAATTTACAATTTCTACCCTCGAGTTCAGTGAACTAGCAGGGTAAACTTTCTTCAGGGCTGCTCTTTGGCAGGGCTCAGGGCCAGCCTGGGTGGCACGTGCCACTGATACCTAGAGACTACTTAGGGTGATTCTGGGATTTGAAGGCTTGCTGTCCCCAGAATGCCTACACACACATACCAGTGGCATACATGTACACACACATGCATACACTCCCACACTGTAATGCACAACTCTCACACCCATTCACTCAGCACTCACTGTCTCTCACACACACACACACATTCGTGCACCTTGCACTCACTTTCATGCACACAAACCCATGAACTTACCAAGTACTCTCTCACACTTATGTAAGCACATATTTATACAACTCACACATACACGCACAGATTCAGCCCCCCACCCCATGCACACCTGTCCTCTGATGCTGGGCCACTGCCACTCAGCCATGAGTTTATTTCCATGGACCCCAGTTTCCTATCAAGATGCTTGGGACTTTCTCGATTTTAGTGTGTCAAAGTCTCACCTCCTCGGAAACCTCCCCTGCAGAGTCCTGGGCAAACTGGGATATTGGTCACCCTGAAATCCAGCCATCCAAGAAGATCCCTGAAGTCTTTATCAACATACAGTATCACGAGTGAGGTTTTTACAAGCTCTTTGGGGAGGGGCTCTCAGGCACTGTGACAGGTCCCCGCTGTTTCTGGGTCAGCCTTCCAGGCACACACAGACAAGCACCCCACAGCAGCCATGGGGGACACTGCACAGTGCTTGGTCCCCAGGCCCCATCCACACAGAGGGTGGCTTCAATGGCCTCTTCTGGGACTGGCCTCTGACAGGTGCACCTAAATCCAGTTAGGAAATAGAGGATTTCTGATGATGCTACTGGCTTAGGAACTTTCAACACAAACCCGTTTCTGCCACCAAAAGGAGCTTTCTGAACAGCAGTGGTGACTGTGACCAGCCACCTCCAATGGAGGAATCCCTAGGGAAAGGCAGTCTTGTATGAGTCAGAGAGCTCCTCTGGTGGGCAGGGTGTGACTGAAGAACATGTAAGAAGGGTGTGGAGCTGTGTTGGAGGAGACAGTAAGGGCTTTGGAATCAGCTAAAATCAGATTTGTATCTTTTTTCTTCACTTATCGGCTACAAATTTGTGGCTTTGAGGAACTTATGGAATAATTCCGAGCCTCTATTTTCTCCTTCTAAACCAGCACGTGCAAATAATACCTCTCTCAAAACATTCTTGCTGGTCTATCTAATGGCACAGGTCCTGGCTTAGTGAAGGTAGTGAGTAAATGACAAATGACAGCTCTTGAAAAAAATAAATGGGAACACTGTTTTATTCTTCATGTTCTTCTGGAATGTTCCCATCAAAGCCAAAAGGTGTTCTTTCCTCAAACAATTAAGTTCATGGAGAGTGCTGATTTCTATTGTTATAATAAATTATCACAAATGTAGTGGCTTAAAACAATGCAAATTTATTATATCAGAGTACTAGAGGTCAGAAGTCTGAAATGGGTCTCACAGGATTAAAATCAAGTTGTTGGAAGGGCCTCATTCCTGCTGGAGGCTCTGGGAGAATTCATTCTTTTGACTTTTCCAGTTTCTAGAGTTTTCCTGAATTCTTTAGTGGACAGCCTCTCCCTTCATCTTCAAAACAAGCCATTTGGCGTCTTCACATCTTTCTCTGTCTCGAACTCTCCTGACCCTTTCACTTACAAAGATCCTTGTAATTCACTGGGTCCCTTCAGATATTCCAGGAAAAAAATCTCTCCCTCTCAGGATCAACTTCACCACATCTGTAGAGACCTCCTCGCCACCTAAAGGAACATATTCACAGGTCCTCACTATTAGGAAGTGCACATTTTTGAGAAGCCATTATTCTGCTTCCTGCTTTGGGAGAGCTTAGTGGCTTTAAACTTTTTAATCTTCCAAAAGGTTTTCTCCAACCTTTGACACCTGTTCCTGCTTGCCTAGTAGCAAATGCTGGCAGAAGGCTTAAAAAAATACTGAACAGATTAACATCACCAAAATATTTAGAAACTGCCAGTCAGGTAGTTTCCTTCATGCATGTATGGATGTGTGAACCTGTTTACTTGTGGTTGTGATTTTATAGTATGTGACATAACAGTGTCACAGTTTTTGCTTGTAAAATTGTTTCAAGCATGTTCGTAGGGACTGAGTGGTTATGCTTAATTCTGCAGAAATAGCTCTGACTTTGCAGACACTCTGATCTGACAAGTCTGATGATCACCTCTGGGAGCTGCCAGGCTTAGGACTTTACAAGACCATGTGTCCTGCATGGGAAACCCGAGACAGGAAGAAAACATTGGACTATGCAAGTGAGTTCAGAGTATGTGACTTTTTAAATGTTCTTCAAATGAGTCAAGAACTCCAATCTGGACTTTGGATGGAAACTGGAACTCAGTGGGAGGTCTTTGAGGGTGGAGGATGGGATTGCTTTCAGTCTTTCAAAACACAAAACAGGTGGTTTTCAGTGGTGCTGGCTGGAGGGGGAGGAGGTGTGGAGGGAGGAGTAATACAGAGTATACAGGCTCTCGGCAGATGGGGATGGGGCTGGTGTCTGCTGCCTGGGCTGCCACCTGAGGGTGAGCTGACAACTGAGGCTCAGGGACCCCCTGCGTGCTGCTGGGGGATAGACTGGGACCACCAGGAGGCCCAGGGAGGAAACTGGAGACCCCATGGGGAAAGGATTTTCTTCGCCAGAGAACCATTGCTCAGCTCAGAGGCCACAGCTTGGGGAACCCACAAAAGTAGGAGTCCAGCCAAGCCAGAAGCTCCCTAAAAAGAAGACCAAGGAGCAGAATGGTGCAGTGAAGCAGCAGTGATGAGGTCGACCAGGAATCCATAAGCCCAGCCAGAGGCAGGATCACCCAAGCCCATGGGAGGCTTTAATTGCTCTAGGGTAAGAGGTCTGTGCTATGTAAACATGCTAGCTGCCTTCGTTTTCGCATCTTTTCATTTTTTTTGGTTTGTTTTACTTTTTCTTGTTGTCAATGTTTTAGTAAAACTTTAAATAATTAAACAGGGCCCTTGTCCTTGCCTGGGAAGTTCCAGCTGGAGAATGAAGGAGTCCCGATGCAGCTCAGGCCCCTGGTGAGGTGAATCATGGAAGTGTGATGAATCAGGACCCCACGAGTGGCTGCTCTTGAGCCCCTTGAGGAGTCTTTAATGACTTCAGTACATTGTACATGCCAGGGAAATGGTGATGCTAACAGTGTTTTAAACACCAGGGATGGAAAGAGAAGAGCCTTCCACTTAGGCCTCAGAACAGACAATTTGAACACACCCGGCCCTGCTCACACAGAGGCTGGACTGCAGTACTGTTTATGCAGCTTAGCAGGTAACCAAAAATGCCTCTTGGCTCAGAGGAGGGGCTTGGCTGCCCATTTCTCTTTTACACTCACTAGCCCTTATACAAAATACATAGAACAAATATAAATATAAGGGCAAAGAACAAAATGAATAAAAATGTATCTATATTCTTCACAACAGATCTGTCATCAATTAGCGCTAGCCTCTGACAAGTGGCAAGCCTTAAAAATGCTCCACCATGTTTTCAGCCTGAGGTTATTACAGTACTGTGTTCTCTAAATGAGTATTCTAATAGCCATTTTCCTGACAAGACAGACTCAGGATAGTAAATGGCAGCCAGGTAAGGTGGCTGGCACATGCCTTGTAATCCCTGCACTCTGGAAGGCTGAGACAGGAGGATAGGAAGTTCAAGCTCAGCTTGGGCAAGTTAGTAAGACCCTGGTTCAAAATTTTAAAAAAAGGAAAAGATAAGAAAAGGGCTGGATATGTAGCTTGGTGAGAAGGCCCTGAGTTCAATTCCAGTAGAGAAGAAAAAGAAAGAAAGAAAGAAAGAAAGAGAAAAGAGAGAGAAAGAGAGAGAGAGGGAGAGAAAGAAAAAGAAAGAAAGAAGTGACACCTAGAAGTGATCCTGCGATCAAGGGATAAATCTGTGACCAGAATAAGGTCCAAGGTTTCCAATTCACTGTTTATTCCATTCAGCTTCAAAATATCTCAGTCAGCTACACAGCAAATGGGTGTCCCAGGACTGGCAATGACTGATAAGTCCCACAGCGCTAGTACCAGATATTGTCAGAGAAACTTCTCCACTGTTCACACTTGAGGGTGTCTGGGGAGTGGAAGCAGAGAGGGGGTGGGTAATTTATTCAGGAGCTGGAATTTATTCAGGAAGCTGAGGAACAGATTTGGAAAGCTTATTACTTCAAAGCCCACCAGAGAACTCCCATAAAACACAGACCCTCTGCAACAACCAGGGAATGATTTAAATCCAGTTGGAATTTCTAGGGAGAAGGAGTAAAACTTATCAGCTCTGCTCAGAGCCTCATGAATAATTTTTCACCTGACATGCAACCCTCAACCAGCAGAAATCTGGGATGGCCAAAGGAAAACAGGTTTCCAACTCATCTTTGTTCCCTGAGCCTTATTCCTAAGTGGGGAGAACCAGGATGGGAGAGGGAAGCTGAGACAGGAAGCACATCATTTTCAGACGCATTATATTTTGTCCTTGTGTGAGAAATACTGGATAGAAAACACATTTTCTGCCAGCTGAAACCTTGCCAGCTGGGTTGGCTCAGGGAGAGGCCATGCACCCACATAGGGCCAGCGTGCAGAAGTCACTTGAAGTCCCTCTAGGCTAGCAGAAAGGGGGACTCAAGATGAATAATCACCTAAGCCCGGAGCCCCAGACTATGCTGCGGGTCCTGCGCCTCCCTGCAGAGGCAGCAACAGCTGGGTCCGGAAGCGGCTAGCGGGGCTGGGAGAGGGTTTCCGTAGCTTCTAAACAGCCTTAGATGGCCAGTGTTGGGGGAAAGGGGGTGGCAGGGTGGTGCAGATCGTCTGAACCATCTGGAGGATCTCAGGAGGCCTCGGTCCCGCAGAATCAGCCCCCTTCTGTGCAACGAAGGGCCGCTCGACGACCAGGGCGGATGGCGGCCCCGCTGTCCGCCCCCCCCCCCCGTGTTCAGCCACCCGCAGCACCGCTGCCCCCCCCCCCCCGTGTTCAGCCCCCCGCAGCACCGGGGGACAGGGCCCACAGGTGGCCGTGACTGCGCCTTAAGGAAAATTGCTTCAACCCTCAGGTGGGCCTTGCACCCTGGTAAGAAGGGCGGCGAGCTCTTCTCGCTTGGCTTCTGGCCATCCTCAGCCTACCTTCCCAGCAGCTAGCGACCTCCTGTCACCTCCTCCCCATTTTGCAGATACTGGGACCCTGAGATACTGTGAGCCTAAAAGACATCAACAAGAGCATAAAGTAATTGTGCTGATCCTGACATCTCTGGAAAAAGCAGAAATTTAAATTCAGGAGCCAGTCTTTGATATCTAATTAGGTAGACACCTTCCCTTTTTCTGGTTTCTCCCCTTTCCCTCTTGGTATTGACTTTTGCACATCTCTGTCATTCCTTCCAGGGTGAAGGACTCACCTGGCTCCCAAATTTAATTCTGATGCATGTGAACCAGTGCTAGCAAAAGGTTCTGGCCAGAGGGACATAAACATAGAAACACACCCATCAAAAATCAATCACATCTTGGTGTGTTATCAAGAGTGACATGTAATTGTTTAATAAAATATTCCTCAGTCTTGGCGGGGGAGACCCTTGCTCTGAAATGATTTGCATGATTTGTTTCACTGATGATATTTATTTTGAAATTTCAAATAACCTTACAGACAATATAAAGTGTTTATGTTCCGTCAAACTAGACTTGGGCTCAAAAGGATTGTGAAACTGCTGTTCTAATGTTAATAAATGGTCAAATTAGAAAAAATAAAATGCCTTTAGAGGGGACAATACTGACGCCAGGCTAGTGGAAACCAAGAGTAGTTCTAAAAACAAGTCCTTTCCTTTCTTTGTCTTATTAGTATATTAATTCTTTTTTTTTTTAATAGTGTAGGGGGTTGAACCCAGGGCCTTTACACTGAGCTACATTCCTAGCTCCACTTTTATTTTTTTGTTTTGAGACAAAGTCTCACTAAGGTGCTATTTTATCCAGACTGGGCTCAAACTTGTCAACCCTCCTGTTTCAGTCTCCCAGGGTGCCGGGATTGTAGGCTTGTGGCACCATGCTAGGCTTGTATATCGATTCTTAACAGAAGAGAGCAGCCAGACCACTTCAGGCCTGGTCTTGTCTAGTGTGAAGAGCCAGGAGAGGAGGTTCCAAGCTACAACTCCGCTGTGCCCTTGGAAGCTGGTCCAAATGGGCAGAGAGGGATCATCTAAGTGCATCAACGTCAGAAAAAAAAGGGCACAGCACTGCTCCTTCTGGAAACTGTCACTGAGACTGCCTAAGGCTTTGACTTGTGGTTTGCTTCTTTACGCCAGGACTCTGGGCCTCCTGTTACTCAGCATCTGCTTGTCTAGCTGGGCAGTAGCCCAAGCCACCAATTTTCCATTTTCCTTTCTGCTGGCTTTTTTTCCCTCCTTGGAAGTTTGGCAATTCATTAACATCTCCACCAGAGGGAGGGCAGGAGAAAGAAAAGCTTGGAACTCAAATTGGCCTTGTGGTTCTTAGTAGTTGCTACTTCGAGGGCTGAGTTTGGTGGGAAAAGAGCAGTGCTGTTGGCTACAATGAGATTTGGGGATTATTGGAGGGTTTAATCTGGTCTCACATCTACCATTTCCACAAGTAATTAGAGGTTACTAGTCACATTCAGAAGTCACATTAGTCTCAAAGAATTTACAGAAAATCTAAATAGGCTTAAATACCATCTTGGAGCCCAGAATGGTAAGCTGTATGCTCCAGATAATTAACATTTTTAGAGCCTTTTCCACCCTCCACCCCACCCCTTGGGCTACAGACACTCCTAGGTAACTGTTCTTTGAATACATTTGAAATATGACATATTTTTTAGGAAGGGATAAACTAAGTGGTGCTTCTGTAGTATGCAACAGTTTCCAAAGCAATTTTATATTTGTTCCCTTATTTGATCTTCATAGTGGCTATGGGATAGGAAGACAAAAATTCTCATCTCTATTTCCTTCTGCTGAGGAGACTTAGCACCAGTTAGAAAGCTAGTAAGTACAGAGCAGAATTAGAAAGCAGGCCTTCAGACCATCTCCTCCATAGCCATTAGAATCCTGTTACATCATAGTTTCTTATTTGACTACATTATTGTGCCAGCTATATATTCTATAAGTAACTATTACACTTGAAAAAGCTAATCTTACACTGGTGTAATTGTGTAGATCATATTCATGAAAAAAAATTTACTGCTTTTTTCTTTGGAATTCCATTATTGCAATTCTACTTATTAGTTGTATTCCTCTCCTAATAATCGGCAGGGTTTTAATCTGTGTTGGACAGTTTCTTACAGTCACTTACAAAACATCACTGTATCCCATGGACTTTCTTTTCTATTACTAGAATCTGAGTGGATACTGAAATATTCCCCAAAGATACACATCAAGACCACAGCTTAATAAATGAACCCCAACCATAAATACAATGTCTAGTTTATGTAATAACTGCAAATTGTATCTCCATCGATATTTTTAGAAAGATTGATTTTTAAAAATGCTCTGACATATCCCACATGCTGATAGTCCAATCCATGCTCAAAAAAACATTTCAGCCTTTTCCATCAGCACCATTCACATTGTAGAATACCCATGTTGTAGAGGCCTCCCAAAGTATTTCCTTAAACCTCTGCCAGCCTGGAGCTGGGGGTGAGGAATGGTGATATTATATAAATATCTGCACTGAGTTCTTGGATAAAATTGCACAATAGCAATATATGGTGAAAGGTAGATTTTCCCCTGAGACTTTATTCTTGGAATACGTTAAAATGCACATGTCTCCGTTTCTGCTCCTTAGAAGCTGGTGTGCAGATGTGAAATATTGGAGTGGTGGAAATGATGCTGTCTACAGTTTACATGATGT